AGAGAATTGGCAGTGGGTGTTACACGCCAGTTGCCTTTCATCCACTCAGCACTTCCAAATTAGTGACAGTGACAGAGCCTTAGCAGCTTTGCAATAACAAAGACATGAATGGCAAATTTAGTGGCAATAGGAATCGTTATAAAAAAACCCTCATATCTCTAAGCATCTCCCCACCCATTATGTAGGTTTGCACTAAACAACAAACAAACATAATGGTAATATTTCAAATAATTGGATATTCAAAATAATCAAAAAGAGTAACTAATCAAAAGTTAATGTTTTCCTATACTGTGTGACAAACCCTCATATCACAGCTGACTCCCTCTTTGGAGTTGAACCCAATCTTCACTTCAAGATTAGGCACAAAAAACAACACCGGAAGTGGAGAGGATGGGTGGGAAGTGTGAGAAGAGTGTTTTCTTATAGCAAAACCACATCAGGTTATCTGCTGTGTCCACTGAGGGGAATCGAACCCCTGATTTTAGCATTATAAATCCAAAAACTTACCGCTGTCCCACCGAGGGAGGTGTGAGAGGAAATAAGTATCTATCCAAAACATATTTTCAGTGTAAGAAAATATTAACTTCCGATGCAATTATTTACTTCCTCTCACAGTAACAGTTAGAATCCCACAGTGAGCGGGTGGAAGGACCAGTGTAAAATTAACAAGATGAGCACCCCTGAAAAGTGTTTGAAGAGCACCCATGGAGTGAGCCCTCTCTGTGGAGAGAAAGCACACATGTGGGTGACCACACCACATCTGAACCATGTATACTCTTCACCCATGTGGAGCCAACAGGTGTGGTGTAACAATCAAATGGTAGAACAAGGTAATTCCAAATTCAAAAGGAAGAGGAATGTGTGTAGAGTGGCTAGGGTGTTCTGGACCATAAGCAGAAGGTCAATTCCAGTTCTGTCCAGTGGCATCAAGAGGAACCTGACCAGTCCATGGTAGGAGGAGGATCCTCAACCATTAACTTCAGGTCTAGGAAACAAAAGGGAAGAGGAACCTCGATTTCGAGAACCTAGCATCGTGTGTGCAAATCCAGCACAACCTGCAGCAAGATACTTTGGGAATGTACAACAGGAAGTTGGAAATGCAACATGGAGGGACAATTCCAGTCTTAAACTGATCGGCATTGTGGATGTAACATCCAAACTGTGGTAGAATGAAGTTTCCAGCCCATTTACACATAAGAACTTATGTTGGCTGGTCCAGCTCCAACCAAAACCAGTTGCCCAGAAGCCAACATCCAGGCAGTGGTAGGAGGGAGGGTTTCCAGTTGGAGGGGCAAACTACAAACCAGGAGAATTGTCACACCTTCTTCACAGGCAAAATGCCACCACCCTACTCTTGATTGAGTAGGAGCTGGGAAGTGGTAAGGACTCCCATACTTCACTGGAAAAAGAGGGAAAAAATGCGTTGGAGAGTCTAAAGGAATGCATCACCAGATAAAGTGCAATGGGTGACCACAAAACCCTATTTTCGAAAGCAGACCATTCCCAATTCAGGCAATTTAAGGAACGTTAGAGATGGGCAGCAATCTCTTTCTGCTTTACTCATGTTAGTCCATGAGTGTACGATCCAGTACTAACATATTTATGACACAATATACTGCAGGGAAGAACCTGCAAGCAATCTTGTGGAACAACCCATCTCAACAGTGAGTGCAGTAGACCTTATAGATTTCAAAGTGGGATTCATAACATGGGAAATAAGCCCCTGAAAAAAATGAAGCAAAAATAATTTACCCACTTAGATCTGTACTGACATATGGAGGGTGAGGACAATATCCAACTGAGCAGGAAACTGCCAGATGGTGCAAGTAGCTCAACACAAAAGTGTGGGCCGGCTTAGATAATCTCCTCCAAAAGATGACAAAAATAAGCAGCAAAGGACCTTAGGAGGTGACAGATCTGATGGGATGAAACACAGAACATGAACCATACACAGGAGATGACAAAGATAGGAGCAGAAGGAAATATAGGATATGGAAAGAAGGAAAGAATGGGTGTGGACAAAAACTCCTTCCTGGACAGATTATGTTTTGTGAAGGAAGGAATGGTACAAAATACTGTAAACATTGATGGCAAACAAATTCAACAGGCAATATCCACAAGTCAAAAGGAGAAGGAAATACATCATCAAGAAAAGGAGATATAAGGAACATGAAGCTAGTGGTTGAACGGGAAGAAGGGAAAGGGCATGAAGAACAACATTTAGATTCCAGTCTGGCAATTGAGTGGTATGAGGAGGATGATGGAGATGCACCAAAATAAAGGAGAAATAACTGAAGAGGAAAATACCCAGCAAAAATGGGAAAAACAAAAGGCAGACCCATGTCAAACAACCATGTACAAATCAAATATCTGAGAAAAGGAAGAAAGGGGAGAATCCATGCCAGATAGACCAACAACAGACATGGATGATAAATTGACAAAGAGAGACAACAGGGATACTGCACTTGTGGATAGTACTGAACACCTCGCAAGGACTGGAGAAAAGCCATACGTGAAGCCAGTGTGTGGGAATGAAAGGATAAAGCACCCATGAATGAGGATGCCAGAAAAGCGACCGGGAGAGGTAATGGAGGTAGTCCCTGGATAAGTTACAAAAACCATTGTTTAGCTGGCCAGAAAGGAGTAGATTGGATGGGAGAAATTATTCAGGATAGAAGACAGATGGGAGGGTATGTATAAAGGAAAAGGTCCTTTCAATCCTGGCTGAACATATCCATGGCCAAAGCCAAAGGATATGGAACTGGGGACCAAAAAACAGAGGAAATTTGGCATTCAAATAAGTGGCAAATGCATGCAGCTGGGGGGTATCCATGTGAGAACATAGCCATCGGAATACCTTGGATTTGAGAGACCACTCTGTGAGTATAATCTTGTCAAGAAATTTATCTAGAGTGTGGGAATATAAGGACTGGGATTGAGTGCCCCTTTTTCAGGTGATGTAAGAGAAAACCATTGAGTTGTCAGAATCAATCAAATTTGTCCTGCCCTGCATAGGTGACAGAAATTGAACCATTGCCAACAAACAGCAAAAAATTCCAAAAGGTTGATGTGAACACCTAATTTCGTCTGAGATATCCTGTATTTTGCAGCATGTACCATATCTTAACAATGAGGGATTTTTGTGAAGACATGGATATCCAGAGGAGAAAGTGTAATAGGTACCCCCACTGTTGTGTTGTCCTTGTTTAACCACCAGAGAAAGTCATATGGAAGGAAGCAGGAAAGGATATCTGTAAATCCAGATGGTCCATGATGAGGTGCCACTGATCTCACAGTACCCATTGCAAGAAATGCATGTGAGCATCAGACACATCAAATCTCCTCATCCAAAGCCCTGGACGAAAGGCCCATCTGAGAGACAGGCAGGATTCCATGGTGAACCAAGGCATGTCGAGGAAACAATTGAGATTGAAGAGATCAAAAACAAGACACCTATACTAGGTCTTCTTGGGGATGACAAAAAGTCAGGAATAAAATCCTAGAAGCACAGGAGAAACCTTTTCAATGCCACCCTTCATGAGAAAGTCTTAAACCACTTCTGTGAGGTGCTGGTGTAAATGGGATCTTGAATGGGGGGGGGGGGACTGGGACAGAGGATAAGATGGGAGGTGTGAAGAAAAGGAGGGAAAGTCTTTCTAATAAAACTCGAATGACCCAAGGGTTTGCTGAACGATGATATGCAAGGGTGGGGGGTGCAGCATACTAACCCACACACATAACTGATCTGAAAAACGTTTGACATGGACCCTAATATCAGTCAGAGTGGGAAAGTTAAAAACCCAGAGCTAGTGCTACAGTTAATAAGGGGAAGGATCAAATGACATAGGAGAGAAAGACAAAACACAATATAACTGTGATATCAAGTCTAAAAATGGTGACTGAGGTCTGAGTGCTTTAACAGGCTGAGGAGATGTCTGCACAGCACAGTAAGGTAATGGCAGAATTGCTCGTAGATCCCTCGGCCCACATGAAAGAAACCATCTCCCAACAAACTACAGCTGACACTTCCTCTGTTGATAACACCACACCTACAGTCATTGTCACGAGCTGTTGAATGCCGGTATTGTTATAATAGTAGTCATAACAGGAAATTGTGAATTCAGAAATATTGAACAACAACTGGTAATTAAATGAGAAATATAATCCACAATCAAATAATGAAATCCAACTTGATAATGGATTATAAATAATACTTTGAATATGTTAAAAATGCACTAAACAAAAAAAAAAAGAAATTTGAAATCAAGCATGAGGTCTTAACACTGACGTGCCGAATCAAGAAGTGAAGATTGGGTTCAACTGCATAGAGTGAGTTAGCTGCAACAGGACGGTTTGTTGCACTCCTATTGGTGGAGGACTGTGGCATGCTTAAAAGCAGCTGAATCATGTAGAATTAGGTGGGAGTTTCAAGGCTAGTGGCAAGTAAAAATTTGTGCACTAAAGGGCAGTCAAATTGAGAATAGCTGTAATCATGAATGGAAGTAAGTAATCATATTGGAATCACTAATTTCGATTAGTTGATTATTTTTGATTAGCTGATTATTTTCATCACATTCATTGATTAATTGTAATTTCAATTAATTGATGTAATTGCTGCTCATATGTTATCAAACAAATCACAAAGTTCTAGCCATGTGGCGGTATCTGTCTAATGTAAGAAAGCCCCAAATGTGAAGTTGGCTGTGATAATGTTGGCCATTTGATGTGAATGTTCATGTTTTTGAAGAGAAACAAAAACAAACTTAGCAATAAATGGATACTTTTGGCACTCAAAAATCTCTTCTAACTTTTCTTGGGTGACAACTAAGAAAACATTTTGATTTTGCATTCTGACAATATTAATTACAAATAACCTCTAATAATTTTGAACCTTGAATGGGGTAAGTGGAGGTTATGTTGTTTTTTACTAACTCTATTTCTTTTGGTGAATGCATGAAAGATACAAATACAATGTTAATGAATAACAGAAAAACACTCACTCCTCCCTTGGCAAACTGTTTAAGTTTATTGGTATCAATCTTGCTCCTACTGGTAACTGTGTTCCATCCTTCATCTGAGAATGGGGGATTATTCCTGCCTGAAATTATGTGTTCATCCATTTTTAGCCTGACAATCACTCATTAAATGCACATTTTTAATTATTGTACAGCATGGTATGTAAACATGTAGTTTGTTTAAAGGTCTGTGTTAGACTTGCTTGAGGACAAATGTACAAATTTAGGTTATCTTTTAAGAAAACTTTAACATGTTTGACAGTGTCTATAAACTGAGACTAAAATGATATTGAAAAAAAAAAAAGCCTTTAAGCACTTTCTTTTATAGCCAAAGTAAAATTGCATTCCTGCATGACTCTACATGTTATGATCCTTTAAAAAAATATCTTTGTAGTTTCTTTTCTCTCTTTCCAAACAGTTCAAATTAAATTATCTGAAGTTTACAATTCTTCTTTTTCTCCTAGTGAGTTAAATGACCCCAACCTTTATAATGGTAAATATTAATATTTTATCAACTGTAGCATACTTTTTCTTCTTTCTCTTTCATCTGATCGTTTTTGGGGTGGCACATGCACCTGTTGCAAGAGAAGCTGTTGTTGCTGAGCTTCCTTTTCAGCTTCCCAGTGAATTTGGTCAATTGTTTTAGGGTTGTTATCTTCTCTCCTAGGTACCCAATTATTCTGGAAATTAATTAAGTTAAAATTTTATACCATTCACAATTTTTTGGGCTTCCATAATGAATTGTTTTAACCACAGCAACAAAGATAAATAAAACAGATATTTCTAATTAAGGGGAAGCCATCTTAAAACATTTATTTGGAACAATATTTCACAATGACAAAAAATAGGAAACTAAAAAATATTTAGTACCTTGAAATTTTATTCATATCGAAACTATGATACAACTTTATATTTTATCACTTCCCTGAAATCAAAACTAACATGCAACTTCACCATGCTTTTGGTCACTCACAAGGAAATACATTTTAACTAACTACTTTTTTTACCAAGAACCAAAAAGTTTTAAATAATTTTCTCACATGGTACTTGAAGTTTCCACACTCTGACATTACTAAACAACTACTGGACAAAAGTCATAATCTCACATTAGGATTCTAATTACTAGTCTTAAATGTCTGAACAAACACAAACATTTGGTAAGTAGCAAGGTTAAATGTTACGTTATGTTATTGCTAAAAGTTTAAAAGGGGATATTTAAGTAGAGAATAATGAAAGAAACATAAATCATAATGATTTAGAAAAGATTTAAACAACTTCATAGTGTTATTATGATTGTGCAGAAGAGAGTTAATTTCTCACTATTTGGTTTATTTACTATTGTCTACTAGCTTTTTAGAACATTTTTCAAGTGTACCAACATTTCTTAGAAAGTTTTAAACTGAAAGATCGTTTATAGAACTGTAGGTCAGGAAAACAAAGAAGTTGCAATTTTCATATAGCTGCACATATGCATCATTTTGCAAACTTCAAAAATTTTATTATATAATGAATTTAGGTTATTCTTTCAAATCCAAAATGGCCATAGAAAACCACTGAGAATAACATCCTTCTACAATCACCTACAAACTGATAGTTTTAGAAACAATTCCTTTATTTTTCTTCCTTCAGAAATTGTAAACATTTTTTTATAAAATATTATTTCATATTCATCCAACTTTGAAGGATAAATGCAAAAAAACTCCAAACTTTATTACTTTTTTTATGGGTTTTGCTATCAGAACACCCCATGGGAAACAGATTTTGAGGAACTTCATGAATTGTAAAATTAGTGAAATACTCTGATGAAAAATTGGAAATATATGTTAACAAAAACATAAAAATATGTCCATTGTTTATCTAAAATGGCAACCAAGTAAATCACAGCTTTTTTTCAAAAGTATGAAATTTTAATTTCCTTAGTTATTATGTTCTTAAGAAAAGTCTTAAAGATAACATAATAAAAAACAAATTTCCTACCTGCCTAAGATCAATAACATCTTGCAGCATGAACCTAATTCGAGAATTAGTCTTATTTTCCTTCACTATTGTTTTCATAGTTTCAAAGCAGCTGTTCATCTAACAAAATATTCCTTAATATTTGATTACCTATAATCATTAAGATTTACAAAATTGATAATATCTATAAAAAATAGATTCATAACCTAATCTTAAAAATAGCTCCATAAAATCTAAAAAGGTACATATTCAGAAAAAACTTAATACAATCCTAACAAGCCATTAGAATCACACAAAAAGGTCTTTAATTAAAAATCACAAACACTATAATCAATCCTTCTGTACGTTTTGACTTTTTCTGCTGTTTTCTAAAAGATGTTTATCAAAATTCAAATTTAATAATAGTGAATAAGGGCTGTTGGTTAAACTAAACATTGTCAGATTTCAGAGAGTATACTAGTAAATGATAAGTTAGTACAAAATCTTATTGTTTATACCTTAAATTATTAACTTACAAATGCATTAATGTTCAGAAAATCATTCAGTAAGATCTACTAGATGTATTTTTTAAAGTATTGATATTCAGTTAACAGAATACTCATCAAAGTTTATACAATTAATTATCAACATCAGAATTTAGTTTAAAAGACTCAGCACTTAAAATGACCCTTGAACCAAAAAAATAAAAAAATTGAACACAGAAATAACAAAAATATAGTGCAAAGGAAAGTTATTTCTTATACAACCCACTGACAGTACAAATAAGAATAACTGGTGACATAAAGCACCTGAGGTTTCCAAACTTCTTCAAATTCAGATAGATGTAGATTAAATCACATATGTAAAAAACATGCTATATTTTAGATATCCTTGGAACATTCAAGAAGTTATTACTCTCTATCACTCTTAACATAAAATTTATTTACTTTTTTAGCAAAATATTTTGGATAATGCATGGCAGTTAACCTATCATTCTTCAAACTAAAGCAAAGTCATTAGTAAATAAAATTGTTAAAAAGCCTGTACATTAGCTTATGCTAAAACAACTTCATCCTCTCAAACACTGAAAATTCTTAAAATATATTTAAGTTCTTTTAATTGTGTTTGAACTAATTTTATTGAATTATAAATATTCATGGTGATACAGGCTAAACCAAGACTAACATAGAATAAATGAAAAGCAACATAATGGCTTATTATTACTACTGTTACTTTCCCTAACAAAGAGAATATTTACTGACACACAGAAAAACTAAATCTTAATAATCTAGAAGAAAAAAAAACAATTAAGAAAATGAAATAAAATAATACAAGAGTACAAATTGCAGTACAAGTACATGAGGAAAAAGAGCTACCACTCTTGTGGAAATACACTGTTTCTAGGTTTCTAGTTAAATCCAATTTTTATGAGTGAAGAAAAAAAAAATACTATAAAAGTATGTGTGTGTATTTCAGGAAATATCAGATATCTAAACTTCTCTTACCTCTGCAGTCAGGAGAAGGAATAATGAATACATATTCTTTTTCTTTTTACTTGCATGTATTACTCAATATAAACAAAAAAGTAAAACACTACTTGATGTTACAATGTATTAAAATTCACACATTACAGTGCTAAATAATAGTTATAACAATGGGTAGGACTACAGCAAATAAAAACAGCTAATTCTGTATCAATACATACATACATAGTTAAAAGAAAAAACCACAAGGAGTGCATTCTCATATTGAAATATGCTATTCTTAAATAAGAAATAATTACTCCAATATTCTGAGTAACTTCTTCATGTTTCTTATTATATGCAGTTTAAGTGTTAAAAATAACTTCCTTATTGATGGCATTACCTAAGCAAAGCTAACATTAGGTATATTTCACAAACCTTAGATTCAGATTTACTGACATGTTATAAAATAAGTAATTATAATATTTTTCTACAATTCTTGCCAATTTTTCATTAATATTATAAAGCTATAGATTTTTTAAATATACAAAATGTGGTTATAATTTTTATAGAATAGTTATGTAGTTCATGAAACTACAGTGTCAATAGTTTCATCCAACTATACTTAATTTGAAATTTACAGGCTCATATGTTTTTTGAAACTACCTTGCCAGATAACTACCAAAAAAAAAAAGAGGAGTTTATCTTTTGCAATGGTAGTGGCTGGTCTTCCACTTCTTTAGCACTCACAGGAAAGCTGTTAAACATGGGAATCTGTACCTTTTTTTTGGTAAAATAATCATTTATTAAGAAACAATAAACTGTTACTATAATTTTGCCCTTTTTCCTGTTTGTTTGTTTTTAATTATGCACAAAGCTACACAAGGGCTATCTGTGCTCTGCCCACCAAGGGTATCGAAACCCGGATTCTAGCATTGTAAGTCCGCAGACATACCGCTGTGCCACTAGGGGTTGCCCTTTTTCCTGATGCACAAGGTTCAATACTCCCACAATAATAGATTAATGAATAGACTTTGAACATAAAACAATACTTCCCAAGTTAACAGCTATTATATATAATTATGCCTTACTGATGTTGCTGTGAGCTTGTTTTTCTCTCGCTCCAATTCTTTGCCAATTGTCGTTAATAAGCGGCATAAACACTCTAGAGAATCTTCGTCTCCCTGCCCCAAGAGTTTTTTGATACAGGTATGCATGATTGGAGTTGTTAACATTCCTAGCTTGAATAGCTCCCCAACAAACCTAAAATTTAGAATGGAACATTACTTATGTTGTTATTTTCAATTTTGAAAAAACAAAACAAAATATTCTTTGACAGTTTTGGCAGAAATTTTAAAAAAGACAAATAAAATTAAATACAAAAAAAATCTAGTAATAATGAAAACATTGAAAATTGGAAAAACATAATTATCATAAATCTCCAAAGAAGTGAGATTTTTCTTGTTTTAGGATTTTAACAAACTTAGAATCATTTCACATATTATTCACTATTGTGGTAACAACAATATTTTTAATTACTTATGTTTTCTGTTTACTACTTCGTAGGCTGATTTATCTTGACATTTGCTAATGAAATGGATAAAAACATCAATTATTTTGGCAATATCCTTCGTACATTTTTAATAAAACAGTCCCCTGGTGGATCAGCAATAGTGATGATATAATAGATTTGTGAAATGCAATTCTGCAAAAATAAATAAAATATAAATGAAAAATAAATTAATTTTTCATAAGTCAAAATGTGAGACTTATGGAGAAACAATAACAAATGATATTAGTGTTTCAGGTAGTAATAACAAAAGTAGTAATTTCTTTATGCACTATATACCTAATATTTCCTAAAGATCTTCTCTTGGCCTTAGCCTCTTCCTCATCAAGTTCCTCTTGTAGTTGATTTTTTTTTTCTGCCTATAATGCAGTTGTAAATAATCATAAAGGTGCAGTTTGTCAGATATATTATCTATTTTCAGCTCGTAACCAGAAAGAACAAAAGCAAACTTACTTACAAAGCAAAACATAATTTTTACTTGTTCTAGTTTAAGCAATCCATTATAAAAAGTATTTACTATATAATGTATTGTAAAGATTAGCAGAAATGTGAAGATTCTATATGATGTATCAACCATACTGTGAAACCTACATATGTGTAGCTTACTTTTGATAATGTTCAGTAAAATATGCATAAACCTTTATAAAAAATTAGAAAAATAAACTGAGAGAGAAAAACATCAAAATATCCAATACTTCACTTTTTTCACTACCAGTTTAAAGGTTTTTAATTTTGGCAATAAAGTTGGAAAAAGAAGACAACCTTTACTCTCCAGACAATAATAACAGTTATTTTACTACTACTACTAGCCCCAATGAAGACACAATGGCAAAACATTTACTGAAATAAAAAGTTTTTTATTATTGTCAGAAGAATAAAGGTTATTTTATCTATCTTTATTACCAAAATGTCCAAATCCCTGTAGTATTCACCAGATTCCAAAAAATAACTAAAGTTTTTAAACATAAAACATAATCCAAACTTGCACTATAAATTGCCAGACACACTCCAAACCTTATAACTGTTAACTTTTATCATAATGATTTAGTCATTTTTAATTATTTTAATTTTAATGATAGTTGCAAACAGTAAAACAGTCTCAAAGTTGTACACACTTCTCCATATTTATATCTTTCCTATAATTTTATTCACTATTTAGTCAACTTGAATTGGATGTTTGTCAGCTTCATGTTTAGAAGAAAAAAAAACAAACAGTAGTGCATTTACAATTACATTTATAAAAAAACAGATTATCCTTAAAATATAAAAAAACACATTGAAATACTCTTATGAAATTTGACAATTGGTCAATTCTTCTGTGAATTTACACTTCATAAAAGTTGTTTTGGTTTTAATTCAGATACGCACATTTCGAAAACAATATTCTTTTTTTTTTTCTATCACATAAGGATGTTTTACAAATTGGGAAGAAAGAAAAGCTCTTACATAGATCACATTATTATTTTGTTTACCACAAATATAACAGAATATGTTTGGGTAATTTACACAACCTCTTGTTACCTCAGTGAAAAATAAAAAATATTGAAAGGAAAAAAATAATGTCAAAGTGCACGCACAAACAAATACTATCCAGAAATGACACATCATGTGACCTGTTAACTGTTTATATACTGGTGATGT